TGCCGCCAGCCGGGCTGTGCCGGGTGTCAGCTCTGTTACGGACCCGTTGCAGCGAGTAGCGCTGGTGATCCCTAGGCGTGCGCTTGAGGATGGACTGACACATCCCATGCCGAAAGAAACGCTTCGTGCGTGCTCCCTTGACTTGTTTTGTCATGGAGGAGACTTCATGAAACGAGTCCTAAGTGGTATCTCCTTTTCCAGAAAATAACTGAGGTGATGCTATTCATGGTGTTTTTTCTGTGTGTTAGTGCTTATTCCTGTGAAGCATCTCTCAGAGCTGAGTGATGCTTGTTATCTTGGTGGCGTGTTATAAAACAAGAAACGAGGGAAAAGCCTCTGACCTGAAGGGCCTATAAATAGGAAAAGAAGAAAATAAGATTATAAATTCTTAAAAGCTAGAAGTGAGATGAGATTTTTTTAAGCAGAAAGAGGCATATTTTAGTAGAGGAGATACTGGTTTGGAAAAGCAGGGCGTCCTGCAGGCTCACACCCTCTTTCCAAACCTGCCGGGTTTGTTGTCACTGCTGGTTCTGGGGCATCATCACTGTCATCACCCACCTCCATGCCTGTATTTACTACACAGGAGAAGAGATGCCTGTGCCAGACAGGGTGAGCAGCAGGTTCAGGAAACAAGTAAATGCTGGAATGGAAATGTGCAGTGAAAGAAATCAGGATAATGATGAAGGGCTATTTGAGGCATGAGAGTCCATCCGCATGGGCCTGTGTCAGAATCAGGACATGAATCTATATTCTGTGTGCCTCAGGGACTAGAAGCCTTCAGTTACTGATTGTGGTTACTGCAGCTTCCTATTTTCTTGTGACATTTACTTATGACGTCGATGAGGAAAGTGGTCACACGTTTACAGACCTGGATAAGCGGTGACATTAAGACTTTATACCTTCCATCATGGAATTACTACAAGGTTTATATCAAAGCAGTCAAAGTCAGTGAATTTTTATGGATCTTGGACAGTACACTAAGCCAATGCCTGTGAAACAGGCAAGCATGTATGGTTCTTCTTTATGTAGTTCCACACAGAGTATCCACTCAACTTGCAGTAAGGTGCAGTCCAGGAACTTTCTGGAATAGATGTGCTGAGGTCTTAAAGAGCCACTGTGGATTTCTCCATCAACGCATCCTTGCCTTTGACTCATAGGTACCTCTGGTTTTCCAAACATCCAGCCTCAAGTGGTTCTGTGGGCCAGAAATCCACCAACTCGCTAACATTTGTTAATTTTTGACACACTTCCTGCTACTTCTACATGGCATTATCTATTTCATTTGATTCACAAGGACAATAACAATAAATTGTGTATGTGTAATGGTAAAACAAAATTTCCAATATGACTGGCCAAGCCAAAGAACTTGTCAAAGATTTACCCTACAGCTTCCTAATTGTATTGTTTTCAGTGCTGTTTTTGGGGTTTTTTTTAGTTGATAGCTTTGATTTCTTTTAAATGAAACTTTATTTTCTATTCTTGTAGTTTGTTGTAATGAGAGCACTTTGTCTGGAAAAAGGGGTGGTCCCAATTTTGGATGATGTCTAGCTTATTTTTATTGAGTATTAGAATCAAAATTTCAAGGTTTCCGCTTTAGAGCATGCTATGTATGCATTTGTACAGAAAACATGTTTGCAGGATATGAAGGTCAGGTAGTTTTCCCTTACTTAATTCAGGCATGCTCTTAATAGCAATGTGACTGCTTTTTCTGCAAGTGACAAACTGCTGTGTAGACACTGAAATGTTTGACAACATTGGATTCCAGTTTACATGTTGAATGATGACATTTAGATGTCTTGTGAGGCTTGTAAACAACTTATACTGGGGGAAGTAAATTATTCTGGCAAAAAAAATTCATAATAGGAAAAAAACTGTGTAATATGAAATGTCTGAGCTTAAAGAACAATTAGGTGTGAAACAAACGGCAGTTTTCACCCTGAATACAAGCCTGAGTACACAGTCACTGGTGAAATGAATGAGAATTGCTTGTTTAGCTTGCTGGGGTTGCACAACCACCTCATGTAGTGTGACAGCACCTTGTTACCATATGTTAGGTAATCCTGATGTGCCAGAGCAATGTCTAACCAGTGATACTACAACTTCAGGTTGGGCAGGGTTTCTTTCATCATTATCCTTGTTTCTTTCTTCAGTATTTTTGCTTCCTCCTGCTGTTCCATGCTGTTCACTTGGTTCTTTCCTTTTCCATCTCATCTCTAGCTTCTGTTTAGATTCTGTTCCCATTATCTTTGGCTTAAACCAATTATTTATTCAAATCTTTAGTTAAAAAAAAAATCCCTTGTGATACAGACTTTTGCAGAGTCTGAGATTTGGAATGAGTATCAGGTGATAACTAGATTTTTATTTGTAGCTGTAATGAGCACAGGCTTTGTTCTTGTATGCATTTGTTCAAAGTCATGAGTTATCAGGATTAAGCAGAGTTATCTTGATGGGAGGAGCTGGGCTCTTGTGCAAAATGCTGTAACAGAGTAACTTCAGAGGTTCCTGGTGTGGTGAGGAGCAAGC